TATCTTATTGTATTTTTTTTAGGTAAGTCAACGAATTTGACACGTGAATTGGGGTACTATTTTTATTTACACCCAATTGGCATATGACTTTTTGCAGATCATTAAAAATTTTGGGGTTCAGTTATGAGGCCCAATTCTACAAATCTGCGTATATGTATTATGTGTCTTACCCAAACCTATCTAGTTAAGGGGTGTAGAGTTATTTTTCGAGAAACTCGCTATTGCATCATAGCAACATCGTGAAGCAAAAAAATAAAAACCGTGAAGTTAAAAATCCTAACAGTTAGCATAACAAAAATACAAATTATATAGCAATTAAATTAGAGAAATCAAATTTTAGAACCTCTCACCCACTAGAATTAATCTTCATTTTACTCACAACCATTTGCCAAATTCAGCTACTTCTTTTAGTTTTTGTCTAGTTAATAAGAAAACACAAAAACAATATATAGACTTGTTTAGTATAGGGCATACAAAGATAAATTATACTTATCTGCAATAGATGATGATGAACTTGCACATTTGTTGGCTGATTGAGCTAAAAATCTAGATAGAGGCTTTGTGCGAAACCTTTATAACCAATTTTGTACTACTTAACTTGGTAATCGAAATAGAAAAGGTATGTTTGATCGACTACAGGAGATAGTCGATCAATATAATGAATCAAATAATAGAAAAACAACTCTTCAAATATATAATTTAACAACAAGTATGACTTTTATTCTTTGCATTATTATGAGCTTAATGATAAGAGTATATGAAAAGATTCACTAGGCTAGTAAACTTTGTTTCCTGGATATATCTACTTTATTTGATTCACTTAATATATCGATTAGCCTTCTTTATATGAGTTGTATAGCTAGTACCCTTCCTTTAAGAATATTCTTGACATTTGATGAAGCTAAAGTTACAATTGAAAATACTATTAATTTATTTAAAAGTATTTTACTTGCCAATACTTTCTATAGACGTGGGCCTTAATTGGGTTCCAAGTTATTATTACAGATGATTCTCATGCTAAATGCAATGCCCTAAAGATTTGTTGGCCAACTTGTACCTGTTTACTATATATTTTCTATATATTACAGGCACTTTGGTACTGATTATACGATTCAAAGTACAAAATTCATAAGGATGATCATATTTTGATTATGAACTTCTTTAAATCTATTCTGTATACATCTACTATTCCTAAAATAGATGAAGAGTTTGTTAAATTTAGTAAATTATATTTTACTAAATATAGACAACTTGCATCATACTGCACAATTCTTTGAAAATGACAGGCTTCTTGAACACTATCATATCAGTTTAGTTTGTTATTACGCAAAAACTACACTAATAATTATATGAAAAGAAGCTTTGGAATTAAAAAGATATTGTTTTTGGGAGAACTTAAGCTTACAATATTATATAAATATTTCAACTTATTGTGATATATATGAAATGTTTTTATAAAAGACGATTAATGGGTATTGCTAATTGACACCCTGATCATTTAGAATTATCAAAGCATTTTTTTTTGTCCTGACTAGATAATAGTAAATCAGGAAAGAATTCAACATGATATAATTAATAATGTTTATACTATACCAAGTGTAATAATTATTGGTAAAACTTATATAGTTGATCCATCTATTAGAATATGCACATGCATCACTGTATTTGGAAGATCACCTTGTAAGCACCAAGCTGCTATTGTGATTAAATATCATAAAGGATTATTTAATTATTTTTCAGCTTTTTCTATTGATGATTGTATAACTTACCATTATATTGCTTGTGGTAAGCAAATTTGTATACATATTTATATATACTTTTAATAACAGTATATATAAATAACTCATAAATAAAAAATATTAATAGAATGTGTTTTAAAGAGACTATCGCAAAAGATTCTACATTTTATACATCTTTACGTGCTTCTATTATATTAGAAAATAGTCAAATTACTAAAGAAAATGTCGATCTTGCTTCTGAAGATATTCATAAAGATACACTTACTGCTGATAGTGATAATTGTGCTACTATTTGGTAATATAGCATATAAATGGTTAAGTTAAATAAACTAAATTTTTGTTTAATTTTTTATTTCGTATTTTTTAAGTGAACCTATTAATGTAGTGAATATGAGTGCATGAGTTGAAGCTGTTGAAATTTTTTTCATCATATTATTGACTAAGTGAAAAATAATAGTCAACTACTTGTGGGTATTGAATACTTTAAAAAAGGCTATGAAAAAGCTAAATCTTTGTTAGATAAAAAATTGGTGTCTTATCTTTATCAACAAAACTCTACCACACAAGCTGAATCAATATGAAGTGGTGCCAAAATAAAGATGCAACCAGCATCTATTCAATGAAGAAAACATAAGATATCTCAAGAAAACATTGACCCGACCAATTATGGGTGCATGCAAAAAGAGAAAAGTTCTAAAAAAAGTACACAAATTATCAAAAAGTATCACCGAAAATAAGCAAAATTAAAAGTTGTGATCTTTAAATAAAATTGTTATTAAATACAGAAATATGTCAAAAAGTATCACCAAAAATAAGCAAAATTAAAAGTTGCGATCATTAAATAAAATTGTTTTTTTTTTTTTTTTGGTGTTAAGGTAGCCTCTTGGCCGGCTCCTTTTATTCGGTTATAGTTAACTTTTATAATATGCGTTTATAGCATCTCATATACATATTTGGAGAGTACATACTAGTCACACGTACAACTTTTGGTTGCCTATT